GCACTTGTTTCTATTAGCTTCTTGTTACTACTAGTAAGGCACTTGTTACTACTAGCGATGCACTTGTTACTACTAGAGAGAGAGAGAGCCTAATAGCGATGGCCTCCAAGCTAAGAGCGTTCGTTCGTTCATGTCGAACGGATTCGCCGCATTCGTGACGGACTTCACGCTCCCAAATCCACCAAGGTCTTTCCTGGAGGACATCAACAACATTTTGAACACGGGAGAGGCAAGATGCAATTTGTTTGGTGTTGTAAAGGGCGCTACTAGGAGCGATCGGACGCTACTAGTGGCTCTCCTGACCTTACTACTAGGAGCAAGAATGCTACTAGGGGCTCCTGGCCTTACTACTAGTAACAAGAAGCTATTGCTAACAAAGGGCATCGCTACTAGGTGCAAAGAATTGTCATGGCAAGCTTCGACACAAAGTGCCAAAAGCCACATGTGCAGTGCACTCCATGTACGTCGTAGGAGGAACTTGTGAGTGGCTTGCGGTGTCGCTTTACCAATCAGGTGCCGAACTTGTTTGCGCCTGATGAGCTCGAGACCGAGTGTCGAACTGCCGATTCTTGGTCTCTTCTCTTCAGGGCCTGCAACCTAATAGCGATGGCCTCCAACCTGGTAGCTTCTTGTTCCTAGTAGTAATGCCGGGAGCGGCCCGTTCGTAGCTTCTTGTTACTAATAGCGGCCTCCAACCGAATGACGATGGTCTCTTGTCTCTTCATCTCTTGTGCACCGAACTCCTAAACTAAGGCCCTTTGCTCCTAGTAGCGTCCTTGCTCCTAGTAGTAAGGCCAGGAGCTCCTAGTAGCGATGCCGTTTGTTAAGGTTGGAGGGTGTGATGGGTCTGATGCCACTTGGCGTGATGTCAGTCAGACAGTTCCAGCCAAGCGAAGTTTTCAGGTCCAAAGGTCTAAAGGTCTAAAGGTATGTTAAAAAAGCAATAGGCGGAAAAGAAGAAAAGAAAGGGTGCGAACTAGAATAAAAAGAATTGGTCTAAAGATCTAAAGAAGAGAAAACAAAAGCAGGGAATATCAAAAGGACACATATATAGTAACGTTTGACGCATGAAGCTTATGTAACGCGACATAACAATGCCTTTTCTTTGCGTTTTTTCGTTCTGAGGAGACCCTTGGCCAAGGTGATGGGATGTGTGGAGTTTCTAGTAGCGATGCCCTTTGTTACTAGTAGCGTCCTTGTTACTAGTAGTAAGGCACTTGTTACTAGAAGCGATGCACTTGCTCCTAGTAGCGTCCTTGTTACTAGTAGTAAGGCCAGGAGCCCCTAGTAGCGCCCTTGCTCCTAGTAGCGATGCCCTTTGCTCCTGGTAACTGGAAGAACGCATAAGCACGCGGTTCTTGAAGCAAAAGCACGAGAGACATGTACTACTAGCGATGGCCTCCAACCAGAAGTTTCTAAGATACATTACTGTAGTCATACTTCATGTTGATACTTCTTTACTTGAGACTGCAGTTCGTTGCTCTTCAACTGTTGCAGGCAGCTGGTAAGCCAGAGACGCGTGATGCTATTTGGCAGTACTTCGTCCAGGCGATGCATAGCCTTTTTTGCCAAAAACAGTTCTGAAGACTTGCTGTGCTACAGTTTTGTGCCACACAGTTGATCAGTCTTGTGCCCAATTTGCGCTTTCTTGTTTCCCAGATAGCTGGAAACTCGAAAGTTTCATCGCTAGTAGGGTGGAGGCCATCGCAACTAGGTTAAGTTTCCCTAAAAATCTAGGAACCAAATGATTAGTGCGAGCACTTCTTCAACGAAGCTTCCTCCGCTGCCTTTAGGGCGGCGGGGGGAGCTTCCTGGACGAAGCGTGAGCGTGAGATATCCTGCGTCCTAGGTAGTAGCCATTTAAGCCATTAGCTGCCTACCTCTATAGCTACTACCTCACCTCTACTAGTGGCCTACCCCCTCGCTCTTTAAACAAAAACCTCGAAAGTTTCTTGCATTTCTTTGCAAAACGGAGTCCCGATTGCAACTGTTCGCCTGAAACTGAAAATGTGAACTAGTAGCGATGGGCGATGGCCTCCAACCTAATAGTAGTTTTTTTAAATGCATTTTGGTGTGTGTCTAGCTCCACTTATTTGCAGTCAGGATCCGCTTAGTGGTCGTAAACGATGCTTGATGAGTTTTGTTTAATCTAAACTACTGGGATCAATGCTGGTGTAGTTTCTTTTTCCGCCAGACATTTCTTCAATTTTCCTTACTTTTGGTAGGTGATCCGAGAGAACTTGCACATTGCCTCGAGCCCGGATTGAGTGTGTCCATCCGCCTGTGTGTGGTTTGCACTCATGGCAAGTCTTGCAATCCTTATTCTGTCTATTTTGCTATTCTACTTTGTTTCTTATTCTGTTCTATTCTATTTCAATTTTTTCGGTGTTTCTCAATGCTATCGATTCTATCTATTTCTTTAGATCTTGGGTTTGGACTTAGCCTTGGCACCAGGTGCTTGCCTTTTCGCCTATCGGAGAAGGCTTTCGAGCTCGATGCGGCTTGACGCAAAGGGCGCCGCACAGGGCACAGGGCAACAAGAAGCTACTAGTAACAAAGGGCATCGCTCCTTATTTCAATATGTTCGAATCCTTCAAGACATCTTTTACTGCTCAAGAAGCTACTAGTAACAAGGTGCATCGCTACTAGTAACAAGGGCGTCGCTGCTAGGAGCAAGGACGCTACTAGAATCCTTCAGGACACCTTTTTTACGATTTTGTTCTTAAAGGGTTCTTTTTTTGAACAGCCTCTTGATCAACGCGACTTGCTTTTTTGACTCTTGGCCCTTCATACCCGCTGCCATGACTTGTTGAATCCCACAGTTTTTGCTTTCATTCTTAAACTCTTTGTGTTTTGTTCTTAAAACCTTTCTTCCTTTTCGTTTTTCTTTAACCTTTATTTGGTTTCTTTTTTTGCCTTTCAAACCTATTTTTCCGTCAGCATTCGCATGGAACATTCAGTTTCCCTTTCCTGGAGTTGGCTCGGAGCATGCAACGGTGTGAAACTATGGGCTGGAATTGAAAAGCCAGCGATGCAGTCTTCGAATAATTGTGGCTGAGGTCGTCAGTTTCCCTCCATCATCAACTGTGCCACGATTGACTGGTTCAGTGCGTTGTCCCAGTGTCACTGGATTGATGCGACAAGCGAAAGGCCAACCCAAACGTAGCATTCTTGTTACTAGTAAGGCCAGGAGCGCCCTTAGTAGCTTCTTGCTAGTAGCGATGCCCTTGCTACTGGTAGCGATGACCTCCAACCTAGTAGCAACCTGTCATTCGAGGTCCATGGCCTGCAGACGCACTGTATTCTGTCTATTTCTCAGCCGAACTGGGTCAAACTGGCTCACAGGTTTGAAGGCATTCGAAGATTCTTCAAAAAAGTCGGTAAGGACAAAGGAAGAAAGGAACAGTAAACAAGCCAAAAACACAATGTTTGGGTGTAGTCTTTCAGGCGTTGTAGAGAAAGGTCTTAGACTTGCAGTTATTGAGCGGTCGTGGTGGCGGTCTTGAGACCTTTCGTTGTTTTTTTGCAACCGCTAGGGGCAGTAGTGAGGTCGACCTTGGCTCTTCCGTGTTTCCCTCCAAAGTTCATGATTTTCAGAGAGCAGCTTTCCATGTACACCTTCCGTGTTGTTTTTGTCATCAGACCTTTCAGAGAAACAAAACACCAGCGTTCGCAATACGGAGTAAGACTCGTGAAAATTTGTGAACCATTAAACTTATTTAAAAAAATATGCGCCCGGAAAGTGCACTTATCAGAAAGCATTCTTGTTCTAGATAATCTCGAGCAATAGTTTTTCTCTAGTAGGTTGGAGGCGTTATTAGGTTGGAGGCCATCGCTATTAGGGAGGCCATCGCTAGTAGGTTGGAGGCCATCGCTATTAGGTTGGAGGCCATCGCTATTAGGTTGGAGGCCATCGCTATTGGGTTGGAACAAGACATCGCTATTAGGTTGGAGGCCATTGTTATTACTCTTCATTTTCTTTGTTTAGTGCGCCCTGAAAGCGGACTTACTCGTTCTAGATTATATCAAGCACTATTTATTCTCCTTTAGACGTTTTCATTATTTTTATTTTCTTTGTTTCCTTCCTTCAGCCAGTGGTTTGCACAGATATCGCAAACTCATGCAGGTTGCTGAACGCTACTACTCAAAGGCTCCCAAGGAGCTTGGCAGCAGACCCAGCAAAGCCCGCTTTGCAGTTCGTCCATATTTGGTAAAGACACGCAAACATGTTTTGCAAGTAGAGTGGAATAGTAGTGAAGGCCAAGAAAGAACATAAAAACAATCGACAGGAAATGAGTGCACTTTTCTTCAAGGACAGAACAAGACATAAGAAACAGCACTAAGACACGATAAAGGGGTCACAGGAACTGTTTTGGTCGAAACATCGCAGCTGGAGGCCTTGAGTCATTGGTGGACCAACTCTCCAGAATATCGCAGCAGGGCTGCCATGTTGAATCATCTCGATATCCAGACCTTTAATTCAGACCTCTTCTTTCGGTATTCGCCTGTTTTCCGGCCAGGTTTATGCACAGTACATCGCAAGATGGGGCGGAAGACTTCTTTGAGCGTCTGGAAGCCTTGAAACACATTCAGTAACAAGTGCCACGCTAGTAGTAACAGGTGCCTTACTAGTAGTAACAAGAAGCTACTAGTAACAAGTGCCACGCTACTAGTAACAGGTGCCTTACTAGTAGTAACAATGTTTGCTATTAGAAACAATAAGCTAAACAATATAAGCTAATAGCTTCTTGTTCCGTTCGTAGCTACTTGCTCCGTTCGTAGCGATGCCAGGAGCCCCGATCGTAGCGTCCTTGTTCCTAGGTGCAAAAGAGTGAGTTGTTTGTAATCTTCCTCCTCCCAGTCTATCATCAAAGAGCGGCTAAGCGCACGCGCGCGCATTTGCCCATGCCCTTTGCCCGCAGCCAAAACCAGCCACCGATGAGTGCCCACAAGTGTGCCATAGGCTGAAAGAGACCAGCCGTGCCAGAAATGCCTTGCCCAGTTTGCCCGCTTTGTGTGTCTTAGGTTGGAGGCCAGTTGGAGGCCATCGCTAGTAGGTTAGAGGCTTTTAGAAGGCTTCTTCAAGGAGTTGAGATGAAAGCTTTGAGAGGCTTTTAGAAGGCTTCCTTGTTGTTCCAAGGTCTTCGCAGAAGAACATATATGACTCCAACTTCATACCTCGAGCTCATTGGTTTGTTCACAGATTTGGTTGGCAAGAAGCTCCTCGGTTTGCGAGAGCATTCAAATGCTTTCAAGCAGATTTGGCCTGGAGTGCTAAACACCTGGCCAAAAGACACATCATTATTTCAAACAACCTTGGAACATGTCACTACATACTGCACATGTTGCTTTTTGAACAGTCTGAGATAGTTTGTTATTTTCCAATTTTGTGTTGCTTCCCATTCCTATTAGTGAGTAGTGTTTTCTGTGGCTTCTCCGCTGAGAAACCTTGAGGCGAGGAGAACTCACCACCAAGCTGGAGCGCTACACCATCGGCTCCAAGACTTTGCATGAAACAAAAGCTGTGGTCGATGAACTCAAGGCGGGAAAAGCCCAAAAACATTTTCAGAAGCATTTTGGGAAACGCTACTAGGAACCAGGAACTACTACGTGGAGCTCCTGGCAAAAAACTAGTAGCAAGAAGCTAGTAACAAGAAGGCTAGCAGGTTGGAGGCCATCGCTATTAGGCTGGAGGCCATCGCTACTAGAAACAAGAAGCTACTAGGTGGAGGTCATTGCTGTTAGGTTGGAGGCCATCGCTACTAGGAACAAGAAGCTACTAGGTGGAGGTAATCAATTATTAGGTTGGAGGCCATTGCTACTAGGAACAGGAAGCTACTAGGTGGAGGCAATCGCCAGTAGGTTGGAGGCCATTACTACTAGTAACAAGGACGCTACTAGTAGCTCCTGGCATTACTACTAGTAGCAAGAAGCTAGTAACAAGAAGGCTAGTAGGTTGGCGGCCATCGCTATTAGGTTGGAGGCCATTACTACTAGGAACAAGAAGCTACTAGGTGGAGGCCCTCGCTATTAGGTTGGAGGCCATCGCTACTAGGCACAAGAAGCTACTAGGTCGAGGCCATCGCTATTAGGTTGGAGGCCATCGCTACTAGGAACAAGAAGCTACTAGGTGGAGGTCATCGCTATTAGGTTGGAGGCCATTGCTA